CCGCCATATGGAACAGATGCTCTTCTCCTCCTCTTCCTCCTCCTCTTCCTCCTCCTCCTCCTCTAAATAAGTTAGGTCATCCATCCCAAATCCCGGCTGATCTAGGTTTTAACCTGCTAGTTGGCCTCTAGAGTTCTCACTCTACCATGTCTCCCCAGCCCCCAGCTCTATGTGTACCAAAGATTTATACTGTGGGAGCAAACAGTATAAATATAGATTTAAAAAGAGGAATTTCTAGAAAAACCAGCTCCCATTGCAGATGAGCTGTCAAGAGCTGCAAGGCTGGCATCGGTGAGAAAGGTGGAGAGCCAGAGTCAGGATGCATTGAGGTGGCCGCTGAGGGCAGCCCAGGGCTAACTCACCTTTGTGAAGCTGGCTATGCAAAGTGGTACACACCTGCGCACAGGGCACATCCACCAGCCGTGTTATTAACATTGGGGCCTAGCTGGGCGCTGGGGGCTCACACCTCTAATCCTTGCCACCCAGGAAGCTGAGATCTGGTGTTCATGGTTCAAAGCCAACCCGGCAGGAAAGTCTGGGAGATTTTTATGTCCAATTAACCACTCAAAGCCGGAAGTAGAACTATGGCTCAAATTTTAAAGTGTTCACCCTGGGCAAAAATAAAAGCTAAGGGAAGGGCCCTAAGTCCCAACTTCAAGCCCAGTACAGGTAAAAAGCCAAACCAAACCTGGGGCCTACAGTCTTATTTCACTTTATATTGCTGTAACAAAAACCCTGAGACTGGGTAATTCATCATGAATAGAAATTTATCTGGCTCGTGCTTCTGGAAGTGTGAAGTTCAGGAGCATGGCGCTGGCATCTGGTAAGGGCCTTCTTGCTGCATTATAACCAAGCAGAAGACAGCACATGGGGAGACGGAGCAAGCCTGTTTTTGGTGGCACTAGAATTGGGACTCAGAGCCTCACACTTGCCAGGCAGATACCCTACCACTTGAATCGTGCCCCCATCTCTGTCTTTCCATTCTTACGAAGCCACTAGTGCCATCCATGGGGCCCTACCTTCTTACCCTCATCTCACCCTAATGAACTCCTCAATCTTCTCCTCTAAATACCACTGACAAGAATGAGGGGAACAACGTTTCCCGTGCACGGAATCTAGCAGGTTTAGTTAAAGCAGAGTACCTGTCTGAACGGTGTTTGTGGAAATTCTTCCACAGAAGCAGCATGGAAAAAGCCAAGAAGTGGAAGCTCTTAGAGGCTCTTGGACTGAAGTTATCGTCTGGGGCTATGCAGGGCAGGATAGGGCTCCTACTGGTATGTACTGTGTAAATGGGTAGCTATCTGTTATGCACACTTTTCCTTCCCTGGGGTCCTTGGGAGGAGGCCTGGGCAGGGTAGGCAGGCAGGAAGTCAGCTCTCCTGACTTCCCTGCCCAGCACGATGGGCACTGGCGACCCTCTGAGAAGCACACATGATGGGTGAAAAGTGAGGACAAAACACTGGCTGACAGCAAAAGGCTTGAGTCCACTGTCCTGTGTGGAGGCCTTTCTTAGAATCAGGATGAACTGCTGCTACCTTCCCCCTCCCTCCCCTGCCCCCACTCCCCACGCAGCTGTCCCTAAGAAAATCAGATTCTTTCAACGGACAGTGCCAAGAGATGTGATCATTTTCTGAATGGGTCCCAGGTGAGACTGGACCTAGTTCATCCTCCAGGAAGGGGTGAGGAAGGCAGCCTCCTTGAGCAATCCAGATAAAGGACCTGTCCACAGAGGAGGGGCTGAGGGTGGTGCTGAGGTCCCCTGGGGCCCCCTAGAGCTGCCCATTCAGGAAGTTGGCTCCTGTTGCCACCAACCCGACCAGGTGCAAGGGACAGGATCGGTTTCCCTAGACAAAGGCTCTCTTGAGAGGCTGGGAGCAGGCTGGATGCTCACAGGTGCAGTTGACCTGCACAGAGAAGAAGCACTTCATTCATTTGGAATCACCTTCCATGCCCCCCCCCACCTGGAAAACACCCACAAAAGACAGGATGCTCTGCTCCACCCAGCTCAGTCCAGGCCTCTCCTAGACCCAGCCGGCACTACCTCCGCCTCAGCAGGGTCACGGTCAACCCCGTATGCCCCTGTGCTCAGGAAGGAAGACCCAGAAAGGTGCCACCACATGGGCTGAGGGACCCTGGAAGTGCCAAAGCTGCCTTCAGTGTCTTTTGCTTCACCTGACAGTGTCCCTGACAGATCTTTCATGGCATGCTTCCCACTCCAGACACAATGGGTTAGACCCCTCCCTCCCTGCTGTCTAAGCTCTGTGAGGGACTGGGCAGATGGGACCACAGCCAGCCAGCCCCTCCCTCTGAGCCGGTTAACTGCAAGCTTGACAGTGTGGCTCTGAACACTGGTGATGTGTGTGTGTGTGGTCTACACAGAGTTTAATCAACATGGGCCCCTTGAATACCCATATCTATGTAAGTTTCTGGCTAACACAGTTGCCTTTATCTATTTTTCTTGCAGCAACTACAATCTTCTTCTGGAAGTTAGAAAGGCAGACCAACTCAGTACGGGGATGAACCTGTTACCTGAAAGGCGAATGGGCTCATCTGTGGGGCAGTGAGTGCCCAGCCCTAGCAGGTATTCAAGCAAAGGCTAGAAATCTCTTTTCAGAGATGTTTCAGAGGGGATGCATGTTTTTGACTACTGAACCACCTGGTATGTCTTCCAACATTGAGGTCTTTTTAGACAGGTCTCTCATGTTGCTTAGTTTGTCCCTGAATTCTTGAGCTCAAGTAATTCTTCTGTCTCACCCCTTTAAGAAGCTTGGCCTCCATCCAGTTCAACAAGATTTAATGATGTTATTGTGCCATCCACCCCCCTATCCTGAAAACTTTCCAGCGGCTAGGACCTAGAGAAATTTTTTTGAAGAGAATAAAAGCAGAGTTCATGAAAACAAGAACAACAAAGAAGAGCCAACATGGTATTATGAAGGGTAGAAATGAAAACTTTCAGAAAACGCTTCCAAAATAAAATTCCCTGATACATGATTGTTGCTTCCAAAGCTGAATGAATGCACAGTGAATACTGTCACATTCTCTACTTCTGGGATGGCTGGACAGATGGAGATGTTTGGGCCTCTGAAACCAGCTATATGGATGTGGGGTGTAGATTGGCAGGATCCCCCCACACTGAGGGACTGCTCAGTGGGAAATAGGAAAGTGCCCCTGGAGATCAGTGATCTCAGTCAATGGGGATAATATTCAGACTCTTCCAACATCAAAAGACTTCTTCCCCTAAGGACGATGAGTTGGGCAGAGTCTGAGTTTGGCCCTGGCCACAGACATCAGCTTGAGCTGTCTGTCCCCTTCTCCTGGTTCCTTCCTAGGGAAGGCCCCTGTGTGACTACCCCAGGGCACCAACTCCAAGGGAGAAAGCAGCTCAGCTTACTCACCACGCTATGAAAACTCTTTTAAGTACCGCGCACTAACCGATTGCGCAACTGGAGCTCCTGAAAACTCTTTATTGTTGTCTTTCTCCCAGCCCCCCCCCAAAGATATATATTTTAGTTGAAATATAAAGCCACAGCAATACTTGGACTTTTCTTCTTTAGATGAGCCAGGCCAGGGCTGTCACTGATGTAAGCGCGAGGCTGTAGTCAAGACACGAACAAGCTGGGGCAGAGCACACACCATTGACCGGAGCTCAGGCCCTTGATGGGAGCTGCAGGTATGAAGAGTGAGGACAGCCAGAAACCTGATTCCAGACGTTACAACCTGGGGGAAGAGGAATCTGAAACACCCAGCGTTTCTCAGCTGGCCACTGAGCTGGCAGTGAGTGAATGTGAAGTGTGTTCCTCCTGAGGGAAGATCTCCCAAGCCCTTGCAGCCCTCCTCCCTGCCCACTGGCCTTGTTCTTTGGGGATCAACGGCCTTGTCAGGCTAATGTCAGCTAACATAACCAGGAGTCCATGGATAGTGGATCTCAACCCCAATGCTCAAATCCTCCTTCTGGCACAAGGCTGAAGATGGTGGAAGCCATCCACTGACAATGTGGTGCCACCCACTCCTGGGCCATGATGGCACTGGGCTCCTACACATCCATGACACAAGGAAGCCCCGAGCCCTGAGGAGAGGAACGATGCTCCAAGTGTCTTCTTGCCACCAGACAGCCAGTCCAAGAAAGGGACTTCTGCCACCTTCTACTTTTCCTTCAATTCCCAGTGAAGCAGCAGGGGGAGTGGGGTTGAGACTCCTGCACCAATGCTAGTAAACTGCCCGCCTCCCCCCCTCGGGAGCTGCTCTGAAACATGACGCTAGGGCTGGCAGCCTGGTGAGACCTGCTCACCGAGGCCCAGACAGGCATCCTGGCGGACATGAATAAACTACAATGGGATCAGATGAGAGAACTCATCTGCTGCCCAGGCCTCATTGTCCCGGCAGCAGATTTTGGGGGAGCCTGGTTGGCTAGGTTGTGTTGGCATTTGGAGCCAAGGTCTCCTGGACTTTATGGGAGATAAGCTGGGCTTTTGTGCGGGCTCCAGGCTCCTGGGGAGACCTCTGCTATGACCTCTAGAGTCTTGTGGGATTTTACAAGTAGGAGCAGCAGCTCTTCTTTCCAGGAGGAGCTCCAGGCAGAGGCCTGGGAGTGCGACACAGGGACGGCAGAGGACAGAGCTGCCCGGCTGGCACTCTCTCAGCACGGGCTGGCTGCAGAGGGCCCAATAGTGTCTACGCAATTCCATTCTTACCGAGGGAAAACGGGCTGGCTGCCAACTCACGGAGCTGATGCACATACATCCTGCCTCATGATCACCACTAAGCTCAGGGCTGCTGGTTCAGGGCAACACAAAGCTCCATGAGGACTGTGTTTTCCAGCTGTGGACCCTGCTCAGCATCCCTAAGGTCCATGGGCTGGAGGCAGGTGAAGTCACTAAAGCACATGCCATCTCCAGGTGGACCCCCAGGTGATTCCACAGCAACGGGAGTCAGGAGTGAGCCAATGGGAAACCAAATACACATACTGAATGCCTATTCAATTCTAACACTAACCCAACACGTGAAGGCAGCAGCAAGCTCTTTGCGTAATAAATATTGCAAAGCTCATTTGGTTTCTCTCTTTTTTTTTTTTCTTCTTTCAAGTCAAATATAACCACCAAGTCCCAAACCCTGTTTTCTGCATTCAGAATAGAGAAGCTGTTGATATCAGCAGAACACCTGCAGCCAATCAAAGAAAAGACCGTGTCCCACTAGCCAGCCAATCATATTCCTTTTCCAGTTAAAACAGCCAATCGGGCCTCTTCACATTCCTAAAAAATGACCTAAATAAAGCACCAGAGCTCGGAGCACTTCCTGGGAAGCCAGATACCGAGGCGCATTTTTTTTTTAAATAAAGAGTCAGAAATAAAAATAAAAGGTTTCCGTTGGTCAAGATTTAAAAATAAAAAGGTTTCTTCTTGCAGCCAATCATGAGTCCATCCCTTTAAGCCAATCCTAAATGCATCACCAGCATCTCCCTTGATGCCAGCCCCACTGAGTGGCTGTGGGGCAGGGGATCTGGGGTGGGGAACACAGGAAGGGGGAAGGTGGTCTGTTGCCACTCAGTCAGCCAAGGAGCCACATAGATCTTTTGGCCCTTGACAGCCTCCAGGGTGTTCCAATGGGCTTGGAGCTACTGCCTCCGGTCCTCTGTCTCCGACCTGGAAAACGCCATCACCACATCCTCTGCACCTGCAAACCAAGGGACAAGAATTGCTGGTAGGCTTATGGTGTTGGCCACAATTGGGTCAGACAAGGGATTCCGTCCTGTTGGAGCACTAATCCTCCCCCCTTCCGATCTCCCCCTGGCTTCTGGCCTAATATGGTTGTTTTCTAGGTAGCAGTGTGCTTTGCTTACAAGGAATACCCTCTGGTTTCCCCTGTAGCCTAGCCAGGAGATATGACCAACAATGCCAAAGCAGAGCTGCAGGGCAGTAGATGAAACCTGTCCAAGGCTACCCTGTTAAGAGGTCGGCCACAACAAGGGTCTTTAGTTCTAAAGCAGAGCCAAGCAGAACTGTGTATATGGCACTGGGGTGGGGGTAGGAGTTTGGTCCCTTTTCAGGATCTTAACCATTACAGTGTGTGTGTGTGTGTGTGTGTGTGTGTGTGTGTGTGTGTGTGTGTGTGTGTGTGTGTGTGTGTGTGTACTGGTCCTGGGATTTGAACTTATGGCCTTGAACTGAGCTTTTTTTTTTTTTTTTTTTGGCTCCAGGTTAGTGTTCTTCCACTTGAACACAGCTCCACTAATTGGAAGAAAGAGTCTCATGAACTTTGCTGCCTGGGCTGGCTTCAAACTGCAGTCCTCAGATTTCAGCCTCGTCAGTAGCTAGGATTACAGGAGTGAGCCACTAACACCTGGCTTCGCTGTGATGTTTAATAGCCAATCATCTTTGCAACTGCTATCCTTTGCCCAAAGCCAGCACTTGTTCAAAGGAGCTTGGGTAGGCCCATTTCCAGCCTGCTGTCTGCCTGGCTCACTAGAGACAGAAGATATCCACAATCCTTATTATTTTTCTTAATCCTGAGAGTCTGGTCCAAGCACTCATGAAATCACTTCCTTTGTCTTGTTTTTCATAAGACAAGCTCTGACAGCCAGAAGAGGGAGGAGGAGAGAGGTGGAAATACTAACCTGCCTGAGGAGGACTCAGCTATAGCAAGTCGCAGTGACCTGCAGATCCCACTGTTTCCCTGTCCCTCTGCTCTCTCCCCCTTTTCTAAACAGTGATTTCGAGCTCTCCTCCAAACGATAATGGGTTGTTTGTGGCCTTTCTGATACTGTTCATCTATGTTAGTGGAGGAGTTCCCCCTGGAGGGGTGGATTGGAACAGCAGGTACAGGAAAGGCCAGTCAAAGGTAGACTGGTGTGAGGCGTGTGTGCCGGTGTCTCTGGCATGTGGACCCCACCATGTCCATACCTCTAGAAAGTCTCTCCTCTGGATTGCCACACCACACAGAGGCAATGGGACACCTAAGGAGGTTCTGCAGAAGGAGGGCCCAGTGCCAGGATGTGACATCACGAAGACGCTCCTTCATTGGGCACTGCAGCACCAATGTGTTGCTAAGAGAACCAACCTGTCACCACCCACCCTGCGCTCCACCTCTATTCCTGAAAAGAAACATGGGTTCTAGAGAAGAGCTCAAACAATCTTGCTTCTTAGGATGAGGCTCCTTGTCTGGGAAGCCCTACGAATCCTTCCCATCTTCTCGGGAACATGCAGTTCTCGCCCTAGTCCTGGGACCACGCAGTATCACTGAAAGCAGAACTGTCCTAGCAACCACAGACTCTGGATTACATCATACCCCGCATGGCAGCTGAGCATTACCTAACAGACGCTGACTCTGAGTGCTGCCTCCCAGCAGTAAGACTGCAGGGGAGGTGGCGGCTGAAGACACTGCTGAGGCAGTGAATGGCAGCAGCCTACTCGCTTCCTTCCTTGCCTGCCTCGTGGGCTTGCAGGGACCCTGAGCCTCTGCCGTGGGCTGCAGGCATGAAAATAGCACTGGCTCCCCAGGAGGGAATGGTGAGTCTGCAGGAGGAATAGAAGCTAGAGCCCTGGGATCTGGAGCCAGCCCGGTGCTCTAAGGGCACAAAAGAAGTAACCTTCTCAAGGTCACCTGGGGGCTCCGGTAAGTTGAACAAGACTCTCTAGCCTTCCCCCAGGCCAGCTGGTTGTCTCGACAAGCTGGGAAGCCACGGGTCTCTTAATGCACTGCTGCAGCTACAAAAAGCGTCTGCAGAGCTGTGGCCTCTCCTGTGTCCTTTCCTAAGGGACGTGTTGTTTTCCAGGCCTCTCCACAAGGACTCTCCTTCCTTTGAGGCCAAAGAGGAGGCAGCTCCTCCAGAGCATTCTCTGATCTAACCTTACCACTGAACAGCCAGATACTCATTCCATGACAGCCTGGCCATGAACTTGATAAGCCTCAAGCTGAGGATGATAATTTTTCCTCTTCTCTATGAAATTTGGGTCTGTTTCCAAAAAGAGAGCATAAGTTAACTGAATTAGTTATCACAACTCTAGCCTTGGAGCTGGCCTCCTCTTAAGACCAACAGATGGTAGAGCCCTTGGGTTTCTCTCGGCCGTCCCAGAAGCATGCAGCCCATCTTCTGCCTCCAGGCCAACAGCCCATTCCAAGATGATGTTCCATTCTCTCCACTAGTTACCTGCCAACCATCTAACTGGTGTTCAGAGCTTATACTTGTCCCTTCCCAGCAGAAGCACAATAGGGCAAGAGCCTCAGTTCTTCCTGCCCATATTCTCTAACACACTAAAAGAACACCAGAGTCAGGCGCCAGTAGCTCACGCCTGTCATCCTAGTACTTGGGAGGCTGAGATCTGAGGATCTCAGTTCAAAGTTAACCCAGGGAGGAAAGCCTGTGAGACTCTTTTTTTTTT